TATTCAAGAGTCACTTCTTTTCTGATGAAAGTCCTGTGGAACTGTTCATTTGAGCAAGTCACAGAGTCGTATTTTGATGGTTGAATTTTGTCGTTTCCTAAAGGCACTTTTATTTACTAACAAAAAAAGATACAAATACGAGGGGTGTTTAATACGTAAGTATCCCCCCCTCTAAAATCGATAGGAATGGACTAATTTTAAAAAACTTGGGCTCAAAATCTTTCCAAGGATATACTGAGTTCAACAAAACAAATGGCAACAAAATCGGAGCATGTGCGGCCGAACGCGAGCCGTTTGAACGCACCGAGGTGCACGCCGCTCCCGCCGAATCCGCGGAGATTTGAAGTCCGCAACAAGAGAAGAGCTTCTCTGCCAACGCTTCAGTCGTTCATCACTGACGAAAAATCAAAGAAGTTTTTGTAGAATAAGGTGCTTACCTCACCTCTCCACATAACCAGCTCGATCCAAGCAGGCCTGAGACTGATTGTGAGACTAAGAGAACAGCTTTTGGATACCGCGCCTGTAGAAGTCTTTCAATTGGCTGGGGATGAAAGAGTTGACGGCTTGTTTGACCTCTTCCACTGATTCAAAATGAGTTCCCCCAAGTTCAGATTATAGAAAGGGGAATAAATGGTGGTCTTTTTTGCCATTTATTACCGTATCTAGTATCTGAACGCGCGGGGAGTTCATTTTCAGTTTTTATATTTATTTCTTTATTTTTATTTATGTTGATTATCAATATTTTAGGTTTGGTTCCTTATATTTTCTCTTGTTCTTCACATTTTGTGTGGAAGAGGTCAAACAAGCCGTCAACACTTTCATCCCCAGCCAGTTGAAAGACTTCTACAGGCGCGGTATCCAAAAGCTGTTCTCTTAGTCTCACAATCAGTCTCAGGCCTGCTTGGATCGAGCTGGTTATGTGGAGAGGTGAGGTAAGCACCTTATTCTACAAAAACTTCTTTGATTTTTCGTCAGTGATGAACGACTGAAGCGTTGGCAGAGAAGCTCTTCTCTTGTTGCGGACTTCAAATCTCCGCGGATTCGG